TTCTAGGTAGGATATCTGAAAATAGCCTTTGTTACACTACAACGTTTGGGTGTTACTCTTCTGTTTGTTTTTAAGTGGCTTATTTTAACGTTTAAATACTAACCAAAACTCGAAATCAAACCACAGGGACAGCACTCAACACAGGTTACTAGAGTTGTAGTTTCTGATTGGCACAATGAGGTGCAAGGTGATGTCATGCCAATTTGAACCAATCGGAAACTCGAGTTGTCATAACCCCTGTTTCACCAGAGGTGGCACTGGAGGTTTGATTTTTAGTTTTCAGGTGCGCTTTAAGTTTTTTTATCAATCATTTAAATATTAATTGAAATTTTGTATAAAAGAAGAAGAAGAACCCATAAGACTGAGTAATTATATTTATGGGTTCATCATGGTAAATGTATCTAAAAAGGATACTGCAAGCAGATGTCATTTTAAGAATATTATACAAACGCTTGGCCTAGCACATGAAATGTGCTTAGGTGCAACCAAGAAGGCTATCAGGGAAAAGTGTTTTTATTTTTAACTCTTTAAAATATTCTACCAATATCAACACTATTTGCGAGATTCTTTATCAGCTTTATCACTTTCAGTGTCTACTTTTAATCATGGTCTCTAGTCTCTAAACTGCAAAATGAATGCAACTTGTTTTTGGTAAAGTAATAGGTCCTAAACTGTTTTTATTTTATTTTATTTCTTTTTTAATCAGTGACCAATGTTTACACTTATTTAATTGGCAAAATGTACAAATCTACGGTTCTCTTGTATATCGTGTTTCACATGTACATGAAAACATTGCATCGGATTGTTATTGGATCTGAAGGATGGTGCCCAGCTGCATGGTGTATGTACGATATGCAGTTCTGGGAGTTACCTTCCAGCCCATGCCAAACACTAATCCAAACTCAGCCAGTTTTTTTTTTTAACTTTCTGTAGCTCATAACACGTTAAGTTAACATGTTCCTCTGTTCAGTTTGTGTCCATCACAAGGTTTTTGTCGCCTTTAACCAATTAGGATTCCTATGCAAATGCAATTTCTTGTTTATAAATCTGACGATAATGTTGCTGAATCAAATATATAGAACATATTATATAAATGATCATATAGAATATATATATAAACAAATATATATAATATATAGAGATTTTTTTTGTTATGTTTAGCTCAATTCTCGCTGTGGATTCCTCTGTTACTTCGGTCATGTCAGAGAACAACTGTTAGCACAGATCACCGTTGTACATATGCTAAGCCGAAAAACGAAATGCATGCACTCAACTGACAGTCTGAACCTCTGTACGAAGGCCTTCCTATTAGCTGCGCAGGTTGATCCGTGTAAGATTTAAAAAAAATAGCTAGCTGTGATCCTGTCGAACGCGGATGCATGTGCTGGTTGCTCCCGTGCAACAATGAACTCAAGTTTCTTGTTACGTGACTCTGTTAACTTTGTCTCGGCGTAATGCTAATACACGTTTGATTGGGGGGGTGAAAAAAATATTTTAAAAAAGTATTTTGTGTGGTAACGTCCTAGGTTTTTGGCGCGTTGACGCTAAACGACCCCATGGTTTTGAACCTACGTTTGTTTGTTTTTTACCATGCTTGTTTCCCCGCTTTTTTGGGTCTGATGATTCTGACTGTGGCTTGTTATCTCCCCATTTATTCCCCCCCATAGCATCTTCTCACATTCAGTCCCAACCACATTGTTAAACCTCAGCACAATTCCTTGGATGTCTTGACCTGTGAGTTGGCAAAGATCACAGAAGACATCTCTAGCGCCATCCTCGATTAAAAGGACACTTGCACTGATTGTTTGCATTAATAGATGTATGTTAACGCTAAGTTTTACAGTTAACTGTATGACATCAATGATGTCATGACCCCCCCCCCCCCCCGCAACACCCCTCTGATCGAGTGCTTATGAGTGACTACCCTTCTAAGAATTGTTGCTTTTTGTTTGTTGTTGTCAGAATTCAGAGTGGGTTATACGCTGTAATTCTGTTTTTTTGTTGTGCAAAGTCTGCTCGTTGCTTCGCACTTTATTTGTGACTGTCCTGTTTTTGCAACAGGGACTGTTTTTGCCCTATGTGAATGCTGTCTGACACCGGATGTACACTCCGGCAGGAACTTTCTTGTTCAAGGAAAAAAAAGAAAATGTATTCTCTATTTTCTTCTTTAAAATGTTTGTTTATTTTCTGGGCTTGGCTTGTCTTGTTTTTGTTTTGTCATTTTGTTTTTTGAATCCGTACGGGAGATGCAAAACTAGAAAGGGCTTTTTCCAGTGCAGCTTGCTCTCCCGTGAACACAGTTGGAACAAAGACGCAGTCCGAATGTACTTAAGCCTGGCAGCCATGTTCCCTTAAGCTTGCTCCCGTTGAATTTGATTCAGGGCTTGATTCTGATTGTTCATCCATCGCGATTTGCCCCACGTTTCCTGCTAAATCTCCAGATGTTTTCCTCAATCCCTATTATACTGTTATAATTGTTGAATCCACGACAAGAAGCTCATTCGGCCACTGAATGGTTTTGGGGACTGAGGATATATCGGTCTATCCTAACAGGAAGTGTTTAAGCGATTCTACGGCTACATCATACATTTACGTATCATGCTGCTGTATGGCTACATATAACCGATGTGATTCGCTTTGAAGTCTGAAGGTTGTGATTGGTCTGATTGACAGTTGACATCGCCTTTAAGGACGCCAAACAGCTCAGCTGTCCCAATGGGTTCCAATTCGACAATTCTCCTTTATCACGATACTGCTGGTGCTCGATGTTCAGTGATCAAGCCTCAGCTCAAGCGTTAGGAAAAATAATTGGAATCCAGCCCAGGTCGACTAGACTGTTGACATTCACCCAGGAAGTGATTGTTGCTCTGCGATAAGTCGTTAGTCTCGCAAATATTAAAGCCTTGTAAGAAAAAAAAACTAGAAACTGCCACTCCCAGAGTACTGTATAGGAAGTCGTCACAAATTGTATGCTGGTCACAATCACTTATTCAATTTGCCTCTGCTGTTGAAATGCATCGAAGGGATGAGTCATGTAAAAGTCTTGTAAGTCCGGTTGGACTATGAGAGTATAACTGCTTTTTAAAAATACTGTTCATGTTTTAGTTTTTTTTCAATGTACTGCTGTAGTTTCTGATGACTGAACTGTGTTTTTCTTTTCTCAACACAATTAGTTTTTAAACGTGTCATGATCAAATTATGTTGAAATTGAGAAGGATATGAAGGATGTTTGTCCCAGGACACACCACATGGTTTTAAAGTGGCATACTTAAAAAAAAAAAAAGGTTAAGGTGTGTTCGTAATCTTTGGTAACGGGAAGTTATTGTGAGTTTTTATGTTGTGCAACTTGTCGTTTCAAGGGTTTGAAATCTGGATATGTCCCTTTAATGACACAAAGGTTTTTCTAAATGTCTGCAATCCATTGAAACATGTATACGGCCCAGGCAACCCAGTTCTGTTTTAAAGTCTAAATTGAAGCTTCTAGTGCGGCTAGCATATCACTGTTGTCCAGTTAGTCCTAGTACAAGTTCTGTAGTATTTATTTGTTGCCGTGTGAATCTCCTCATGTGAACCGTTTGTTTATTATATAAAAGAAAATGTCAACAAAATTGAATGTGGACGACAGACTTTTTCTCTGTACATACTCTTGTTTGGCAGAATATACCGATTAAAAATGTCCAGTGTCATTTTACATCATGGTGTGTCGGAAATGCACAATGACTTGAGATGTTAATGTCAAGATCATTAAGATGCTTTTAACCTCATTGCTGCATGGTTTTAAAAAAATATTATTTTGCAGTATATTGCAATTTTGATCTTTTAAATACAATTCAAAACCTAATAAGAAGCAAAATGTTCACACTTTTTTGCTTTTCACTTTATTCATTATGTTAATCTACAGCTACATTATAAAATGCTTTGCAGTATTTTTAAATATTCAAATTTATGAATAGAGGGTCACACAATAAACACATAATACTCAATGTACCCTCTAGTCAGAGTTTAAATTACCCCAAAAATAGACCAAAGGATTACCAAATACATTATTTAATATTTATCGGCAACGTTTACATCTTCCAAATATCTATTTCACCTGATGAGGAAAAGCTAAAGGTGCAAGATGGACATTTCTATTTATTTTTGGCAATATCACTCAAGACTTCATCAAAAGTTCAACATTAGCATAGACTTGCATCAATATCAAAATAAAACAAAATATCGAAAAAATACAGGATTCACAATTCCTGTATTTCCTGTCCGTCCTCACGGTGCTGAGTCTGCATTTAGATTAACGACTTCATTTGGAATTCTCTTATTGTTGGTGAAATCCCAGAATTCCCTGGCCTCCATCTCCGTTCTGCTGTTGCCTAGGAAACCAGCTGAACCTGCTGGCCTCTGTATGATTCAAAGTCCTCAGGAAGTGTATCTGGAGGCAGTCAAAGCCAAACAAAAGCAAGGTTATTCTTCAGTACCAAGTTAGATTAACAAATTCTATTGGTAGTGAATTGCCGGTGAGAATGTATCATTGCAGATTCCAATCGGCTCAAATTGGTGCCAACTTAGTGATATCACTTTCATTGCAAATGATTTAATCCAATAAGAAACAACCATTACAACAAACCCAAATCAATGCAGTCCAAGTTAGATCTTATTCTCTTGTTTAATACTTTCTAATGTTATCGTCTACTACTACTACTACTACTACTACTGCTCTTATTCTCTAAAGACGTACCGTTGCAGCGGTATCGGAGGTTGGCCCAGATAATGTTCTCCTGGGAGAAGCAGAAGACACCCAGCCGCCCCCCTCTCATGGTCGTGTCGATGATGATGCCCGTGTCCGCAACCATCTGCGTCCCCTCAAAGAAACGCACCCTGTTCAGAACATGGAGAGTGGATTGTATTGACAGACTCACAAACACAATTAAGGATTGATCGATAATGGTTATCATCCAGAAGACATGACCGTTCCATCTATCCATCCTATCCAGAGTATGGATAGGGCAGGATAGTCTAGTAGTGATTAGGTTGTTTGACTCTTAGTCGAAAGGTTCTGGGTTTGAACCCTAAAGTACCTGCAGTATACCTGCAGGCATCCTTCAGCAAGATGGCTCATCCCCTACCTGATCATCAGTGAGCAGGTACATGAGCATGGCTCAAAATGTTTTGGGGATAATAGCGTCTGCTTATCCTTGTTGTAAACTTGACAACAATTGCAGGTTTTTATGGATATCCTCTCATTTCAATATTTCCAGCCAGAGGGTGAACATTTTTAGAAATCCTCCGTTACCTGATGTCTCCGTCTAGCTAGTGGTACCTGATGTATCCGTCTAGCTAGCGGTACCTGATGTATCCGTCTAGCTAGTGGTACCTGATGTATCCGTCGGCAGGCCGGTGCTGGAGGAACCAGCGGTACGAGGTCTTGTCCTTCCAGCCCACATTGCGAGCGTCTTTCCACAGCAGCTTCACCTGGTCCGAGGTGTCTCCTGTGTGCCACAGAGAGTTCCTCAGGTTCTCCCCGGGTCCCGTGGTCGACTTGACGGCCTGGTCAAAAGGTCACAGGGTCATTGATATACATATCCCCCTTTTGAGAATTATTTTAAAAAACACCAATGTGTTTTTTAAATAAGCGGTGACCAGTAGGGTTTTTTCATATTTGAAATAGGTCAACTGTTTGTGTTAAAAGGGTTTTTTAATATTCCTTATTTTTCCAAGGTGCATAGAAGAAATAGAGATATGAATAGTAATTTCCTCTTGGACATTAGCCTGCTTCTGACTCAGGTTCAAACTGGAGTTGAGGCTGTTCTCCAGCACCTGTTAGGCCCATGGATGATTATGGATGTACTTTGTGCAACTAAAGACAAAGAAAATGCCAAATGTCCTAGTTTGCTAAATTATGTTTATCATAATTTATCATGTCATAAATGTCTTAAAAAGCATTAACTGTATTAACTGCCAAAAAAGTACATTTCCTATTTCTTAAAGGCTTTCCTCGACTGCCATAAAGGTATTTCTCAAATGTCACTAAGGGTGATTCTGCATCCATAATTGTTTCTGCCAGAAACTACAAATTAACAACAAATTAAGGTATGCAGCCAAAAAAGTACTAATTGGCCTTATAAAGATTGTCCTACTACGCATCATTTTAGTCCTTGGAAAGACAAAATAGGAATTAAAAAAGTGAAGCCTCCAAACCAACCTTGAGCTGAATGCCCGGCTCGGCCACAGCCCGGAAGGGGTTGGCCTGCCAGTAGATCTGCTCCACCTGCTTCCACATCACCACGTAGAAGCTGGAGCTGTCCTGGTAGCCGAAGATGAACCCTGCATAGTCGTCGTCCGTCACAGTGTTCACGTGAAACGTCCCTTCGAAATCCACTCCGCTGAATGCGGTGTAACCTTCACAAAGACAGATAGGATTTCCCAGTGAGGCGTGTTTGGTCTTTCAATACATTTAATATCAGTACAGTAAATATGATATTGTATAAATCAATCAATCTGCTTTGTATTTGGATGGGTGCAAGGGCAACCCATCTGAAATGGGACACCAATCACTTGCAGGATTACACACCTTGCAGCTAAGGGGTCTGTAATTGGCCAAAACCTGTAGATAATGAGGAATCCACACAGACCAGGCAGGGCCGTGAATCGAACCGCGGTACCTTGAGTTGGTACCCCAAGAACCACTAAATGTTTGATTCTCAATCTGTTAAGATTCTACACTGATATCACTCCTGATATATATTATTAACGAGGTCATCACTTTGAGATAATTCCATTGGCTGTGAATAGCATGATGCCATCACTAGCGGGATTAGAGGGGGCATTCCTCAAGGGGCAACACATGCCTGCATGCAATGCACCCTGGGTATTTTAGGTTGCTTTGACAGCAGTTAATCTCTAGCATCTGGACTCACCAACTGCCAGTCCAGGGTCACTGTTCATGGTTTGGACGATCTCTCTTCCCTGAAAGAGAAATGGGTTGGGTTTTATAGACCGGTTGGGTTTCATGCTCAGAGACCAGGGGCCTCATGTACGAAGGTTGTGTACGCACAAAAACGTGGCGTACGCAAAAAAAAATGGCGTTCCACGCTCACGTTCAGATGTATGAAACGTGAAATGACCGTGGAAATGTGCGGTGCCTCACGTCAACTTCATGGCTGGCGTACGCACGTTTCTACAGCTATTGTTCCTTTGGCGACACTTATAGGTGACGCTGGGAAACTGTTAGTCATCAGAGTGATGTGCACGTCAGAGACACACTTATGAACAATTAACACACCCACCGTGTTTGCAATTTTACGGGTGGATATAAAAGCATGCGCAATGTGATGAAGAAAATGGTATTACCGATGGCAGCGTTAGCGTTGTTAGAGGACCTTGCAAATGGTGCAATCCGACGTGAGCGAGTATTTAGGGAACGCGAGGATTTACTTGCAAACGATGACAAGTGGCTCATCAGCCGATTTCGAATGTGCGACAAAGTATGCGAAGTATGCGGGAGTTAATAGCGTTACGGAATTTGCTCAGAAACAGCGCCACCTAGTGGTCTTCCTAGTGTGCGGCATGAAAGTGACGCATAGAATATATTCCTCCGCTTCACCTCCACCTTCAGATCCGACCACTTCTTCTTCCCCTGTGTGTGTGCGCTGCTCGGACCCCACGGGTCACACACACGCTCCCACTCATCTCCTTCCTCTTCATATTGATCCCTGCTGATAGGGGACCAGAGAGAATCTCCCTCCGCGGCTCCACGTCATTCACCACAATCTCCAACTCGGACTCTGTGAAATGTCTTTTCTTTCCTTTGTTCATGCTTGTGTTACACCCATAGAGTGCAAGTTGACTCAAGGGTTGGCATATTTTAGAAAAGATGTTATTCTGAAAGAATCAATTAAACAAAAAGACAAGTGAGTCGGCTGGTCTTTAGTGGCTTCATGGTCCCGGTTACCTGCCGACTGAAGAACGCAGCGCAGCCCACAGTTTATATAGCCGCGGGTGGTCTTTAATAATAATAATAATAATAATGCTTAAAATTGAATGGGGGGCGTCTGTAAAAATGCCAAATAAAGTCCATACATATAAAATAACACATTTAAGTAAGTGGCAATAATATATAAATATCCTCTGTGCCACACTTGTTTTATGTGATCGGATAGAGGTGAATCTCAGGTCCAGGGCCTATTTACATAGATTTGCATATTTAAATTGGGCGTGGACAGGGAGGAGTTTGCCACATCTGCACGTGCGCTCAGTTCCACGTTGATCGGGATGTACAAAAGAAACGTGCTCGGATCCATGCGTACGCACACTTTCATACATCTGAATTTATTTGTGCGTAGGCCTACGACATTTTCGGGGTTTTGGCGTACGCCAAAATCCACGCAAGAATCCACGCAAGTCTTCGTACATGAGGCCCCTGGGGGCCTCATGTACGAAGACTTGCGTGGATTTGTGTAAATAGGCCCTGGACCTGAGATTCACCTCTATCCGATCAGATAAAACAAGCAAGTGTGGCACAGAGGATATTTATATATTATTGCCACTTACTTAAATGTGTTATTTTATATGTATGGACTTTATTTGGCATTTTTACAGACACCCCCCATTCAATGTTAAGCATTATTATTATTATCATTATTATTGTTATTATTATTAAGTATTAAAGGCACGAGACCACCCGCGGCTATATAAACGGTGGGCTGCGCTGCGTTCTTCAGTCGGCAGTTAACCGGGACCAGTAGCCTAAAGCCGCTGAAGACCAGCCGACTCACTTGTCTTTTTGTTTAATTGATTCTTTCAGAATAACATCTTTTCTAAAATATGCCAACCCTTGAGTCAGCTTGCACTATGGGTGTAACACAAGCATGAACAAAGGAAAGAAAAGACATTTCACAGAGTCCGAGTTGGAGATTGTGGTGATGACGTGGAGCCGCGGAGGGAGATTCTCTCTGTCCCTGTCAGCAGGGATCAATATGAAGAGGAAGGAAATGAGTGGGAGCGTGTGTGTGACCCGTGGGGTCCGAGCAGCGCACACACACAGGTGAAGAAGAAGTGGTCGGATCTGAAGGTGGAGGTGAAGCGGAGGAATATATTCTATGCGTCACTTTCATGCCGCACACTAGGAAGACCACTAGGTGGCGCTGTTTCTGAGCAAATTCCGTAACGCTATTAACTCCCGCATACTTCGCATACTTTGTCGCACATTCGAAATCGGCTGATGAGCCACTTGTCATCGTTTGCAAGTAAATCCTCGCGTTCCCTAAATACTCGCTCACGTCGGATTGCACCATTTGCAAGGTCCTCTAACGACGCTAACGCTGCCATCGGTAATACCATTTTCTTCATCACATTGCGCATGCGTTTATATCCACCCGTATAATTGCAAACACGGTGGGTGTGTTAATTGTTCATAAGTGTGTCTCTGACGTGCACATCACTCTGACGACTAATTGTTTTTGACATTATTAACAGTTTCCCAGCGTCACCTATAAGTGTCGCCAAAGGAACAATAGCTGTAGAAACGTGCGTACGCCAGCTATGAAGTTGACGTGAGGCACCGCACATTTCCACGGTCATTTCACGTTTCATACATCTGAACGTGAGCGTGGAACGCCATTTTTTTTTTGCGTACGCCACGTTTTTGTGCGTACGCAACCTTCGTACATGAGGCCCCAGGTGTTGTCCATTTGACTTTCAGGAAACTGAACCAAGAGTTAACTAGTTGGTTTTAGTGCAGTCCATAATAACCAATAGACAAAAGATAAATCTGTCACTTAATAAAATGTACATTTGTATTCTGCGTTAACATTTTGTTTATACTACTCATTGTATAAAAAAATATATTTTGTGTATTTTTTTTGTAGTTCTTCGTGTTTTCGTATTTATTTTTTTAATCTCTTAAATTCAGATTACTGTCTACTGATTATTATGATTACTGATCACTTTTAACATTTTTACTATTCTGTACTTTCTGACGTGGATTAATGAAGTACATTTTATTGTATCCTATGTTTCATGCCCACCTGGTTGAGGACCACCCAGTTGGGGTCTATCTGTGCGTCTCCCTCGGGGTCCAGCACC